AGTAGGCAAAGGCTAATAAGCAGTGGACTAAAGCCAGTAGCCATATAATATTATTATTATTATTAATAAACATGACAAAATATTTCAGAATGACGGCTGTCAATATAGATAAATAAAGATGCGTTTAACAATATAAAGACACCAGTAAATTCCCATTGTGCCCATTATATAAATAACACGGATCATTTTTTTTTTTTGTTGGTGTCCCATTAATGGTGTGTAGACATGTATACTATGATCTTAACATATAAGCATACCTTGACTGGCATATGGGATCGTGGACGTTTCTTGAGACTTCTCAGGCAGCTTGTGTCCTCTGTGATATATATAGAAGTGAATGAAATAGTCCAGGACTGTGGAATGCTGGGACACCAGAAGCACACAGGCGGGGGTGTCCTCTTATAAAGGTTTTTGTTTTTTTTAATCGATAGACAAGATCCTGGTCGATGAATAGTCAGAGATAAGTTTAAGCTACACAAACTTTCTTGTCACAAATGTTAGGACACACTTGTGAATTGGAAGGATTGTAAAGTAGTTAAGTAGCGCTAGTCCCCCCCTTGATGGTGTTATGAAGGCCACCTGCCATGCCATTTATGGAGGTGACAGAAAGCTGACCACTGGGACAGCTAGACACATGGAGCTGATATAGTGGGAGATGATCCAGAGCAGCTGTCAGTGCTGGAAGTGGCTAGTAGCTTCTGGAAATTGAAGTGTGCCCAAGTCACTAGGCCAGGCTCATCCACTCCTCATTTAGTTTCTTATTCTGGTATGACGCTGCAGTTTTTATGTCCGTCATCCCGTAACGTAGCTGGTTTATCATTTCACAACAGAGAAAAGATTCATTTTTCTAGTAAATAAAACATCAATTTTATGTTTTGCACTCCGTATAGATATAGCAGGGAGAATCAATCAAGGGAAATAATAGTCTTGTGGTGTAAATATTGGCACATTTTTATACCCCCATATTAACAATGTTATAAGACAATCTTCAGAAAGTAAAATCGATCAGATCCACAGCGCTCAGCAGACTCTTGGATACTCTTCCAAGATCTTCCCCACCAGTCACTTGTGGGAGGCTACCGTCCACAAAGACAGCTGGGAAATATCCTTATAAACCATGCAAAAACACCAACAGAAGGGACAGCGCCTTTTCCTCATGTGATATCATTTATTTTATGCAAAATGTATACAGAGCTCCTTTGGCTCTGCCCTGGATGTATGGTTTAATATACCGCTTGTCTCCATTGTGTACATGTGATTAGTTTTCTATCTGTTTGCATAAGATAAACCATATCACACAAGGAAAAGGCGCTGTCCCTTCTTCCCTTCTGTTTATGTTACAAGACAAGTTCTATGTGGTTTTGCACCATTTGCGACAAATCCGGTTAAATGTGCTATGCATAAATGTCTGACCGGGTGCGCCAAAACAATGAAATATACCATTACCAAAGAGGTGTAAATACTGTAGGGGCAATTACCAGCATTGCTGCCAGGAGAGGAAAGAGGGGTGTATGTGGATGGCCAGGAAGAAGAGGAGGAGAAAACTGAAGATGATCTCATGATCTCAGTGGAAGATTACCTCAGATTTGCTCCAAAATTGCACTGGAATCTGACACAGCACAATTGGGATGTTCTGCTGCTGCTGATCTGGAGGGGGGCTGTGTGTGCTTCTGCTGGTTGTGGGGGGGAGTGGGCGCTGCAGCTGGTCATCCAGGCAGATACAGTGGGGCGGCCTGTTCCGTCCACCCACTGACATCACCGGTTGCCAGGAGCTCAGCGGGACACCATCCAGAGCATCCTGCTCAGCTCCCTGGATGATGTCAGTGAGCCGAGCAGGTTAACAAATTTTCTTCTTCCACTTTTATTGATTTGTCACAGTTAGCACTAATTAAGCAGGCATATAGAATATAGCATTTGAATGATATAGCATTATAGAATTTTGCGCTGCACCAGTCTTTGGTAATGCCCCAAATGAGTTAAATGTATAAACTTTGCTTCATAAAGTGGCATATTTCAGATCCTGCTGTTGCAGATTGACAGGGTCTTCTGGTCACCAGTACATTTTCAGCCTGCTCCATCTTACTACTGAATCCCCAAAATGCAAGGCTGCCTTAAAGTAATCCTGTCATTTGAGAAATACAAGGGTGTCCGTGATGATCTCGTGCAGAAAATACTAGTTGCCTGGTTGTTATGCAAACTCATTAGCTTCAATATTTTCTAAGCCAATAAAGCATATGTAAACCAAAAACAAGAATGCAATAAATTTCAGCTTAGCGATCCTCAGATGTGGTGGCTGTATTTGTTTTCTTGTGTAGGCGTTATTCCTTTTATTGTCATGTGTCCCCTTCATCAGGCTCAGAATGACGCCTGATGAAGGGGACCCTCTAAAGTCCCCGAAAGCGCTTGCATTTGAATGGCAATGTGCCAATAAATGGACTATTGCTTGATTATACTTTGGAGTGCTGGAGACGTTATTTTCTTTCTGATCTTATCACGGTGCTATCCGTGGCCACTACAAGCACCCACCCGTCCATACGGGTCTTTTCTCTTCGGTAAGGAGAGCAGCGAGATCTTTTGATTACTAAGAGGGTTATTCACGAATGAGCCGAAGCATCCAGCCGTAAATTCGGCTGATCCTTCGGCTCACTTCGGCCGCAGGAGCCCTTCGGTTCACTCGAACAGAAGGGCTGAGCCGTAGTGACAGGCTAAGCGTGGAGAAAGGTCGGCCGAAGCTGAACGATCTCCACGCAAAAGACAGCTGGGCGAAGCAAGCCGTGATCTCTTGACTGGTTCTGCCCCATTGTAATGACAGATCAGCGTCCCCACCTGGGGATGCTGATCTGTCATTAAACAATAACAACTGGGCAGAGTCGGCTGTGATGTCTTGCTAAGTGAATAACCCCCTATGTGTATCCATACCTTCCAACATTCTGAGGTGAGAATGAGACACCGTTTTTTCCAATGTAGTCCCAACACAAAATAAGGCAGTTTGCCTTGTCATGGATGGGCTCAGTTCACACCACCACCATACCAAATTGTACTGTACAATACAATGACAGCTGCCACTGTCTGCAGCTATTTGCATGTAACTGCAGATGCTGCAATTACCTGTGGATAATCGAACCCGGACGCAAACAATCTGTGTCCAGACACAGTCATCCTCAGGGAATCGTGTAATGTACAATTACATGTGATTGGTCTGCGCACAGCTGCGGGCAGTGGCAGCTGTCATGTTATTGTACAGCATCTCCTGTCCACAGCAGATCATATATGGAGACATTTGTGAGACTCGTGCAGTCTGGCCTCAATTGTGAATGTGATTGGAGCCTTATACCTAATTGTTGTGATTTGTATGACACAAAACGTTTGTTACATTGTGATAGTTGCTGAAGAATTATTTTATACATAATCAATGTTGTAAACCATGTCTCTCTGTACAATTTCCTTTAGATGTACCAACAGCTATGTAGTGTAAGAACCTGTCTGAACGTTTTTAAATCCAAACAGGAAGGCCAGCTTTACTCTCTTTGTCTCTCTTCTGTGCAGATTAGAATTCAGGTCTAGCTACTCAATCATTTGTGTCTACATTTGCATGGCTTTGTTTATCTGGCAGTGTGAAGAGAAGGGGGTTGAAGCTGGCAAATCGTAGGGGTTAAGTGCAGCAGGGCCATTGTGATTAAGCACACATTCTACAATTCCCCATTTAGTCATGCCCACTTACACATGACACACCCTAGTTGATCCTATTTTTCCAGCATTGGCACCTTTTTATGATTACACCACTGGCAGTGAGTCAAGTTATGACAAACAGAAGCAGTGCCCTTTCCTCCCAGGCCATGGAGCTTGAAAACATACCTTCATTAACCTCTGTAACTGAATGCACTATGGCACAATTCAGCCCCATCTTTCACAGCAAAAACATTGTTCAAGTTCTCAGCAGTTCAGCTTCCCCTTCCTAGCAGCAGCACTGTATCCTTATAATCCTCTAAAGAATGACTTGAAGGACTGGGGCGTTTACTATGAAATTAGGATGAAGTGCTCCACAGTGCCTGCAGCTACAGAGATCAGTGAGGGCTTATTTTAAAGTTCATGCTTGTTAAGAATATGGACATACTTTAATGTCCATTACTTGGGCACACTTTAAATTCAGTGACAGATATGCCCATCTATGCAAACCTCAGGGTTTATTTTTTATAGCAAAGAATGGATACTACAATCCACTTTCTTTTTCCTGGTATTTATAAGTCACTAAGAGGAGAATACTCTCCCTGTGTTACTTACTTCATCAGATAAGGAGTTTCTTTAGGATGTCTTTAAATTGGCCATACATAGCAAGCTTGGGTCATTATAAACAAATCTGACCTTTTACAGCTTGTTCATATGGTAAATATACATACAAAATTATATTTTTTTATTTTGACATATTGTTATTCTGATGAAAGAGGAATTCAGGTTGCTACAGGTTTCCACATTTAGCACATCACCAGTGTTCATTTTCCTGCCAAATTAAATGTACCTGACTAAGTGCACTCAGTCACATTTTTTTTGAGTGCCTTAATCGTATAGTTTATTAATCTATGAGGGGAATTTATAAAAACTGGAGCAGACAGAATCTGGAGCAGTTGCCCATAGTAGCCAATCAGCTTCTATCTTTCATTTTCAACGTTTAGCTGAGGAAACTGAAGAAAGAAGCTGATTGGTTGCCATGGGCAACTACTCCAGATTCTGTCTGTGTCAGTTTTGGCAAATTCCCCCTTTTAAAATAATATGTTTAAAACATTTGTTTCAAACAAGAACTAGCTGTTTGTTCCCCTTAACATGTAAAGTATACAATACGGTTTAAAGGCTCAGTTCTATTCAGGCTATGAATCATATTAAATCATCTTAGGTAATTTTTAGTTGTTGGTAATCTTTAATAGTATCTATGCTGTGACTGGTGAATTCGTTTACAACCATCAGCAATGTTGGGTGAAATATCAAAACTTTATTAATGAGATGATCTATTTTCTCCAGCTGAGCCTACGCAATCTCAGGCATTTTACAGTGGACTCTTCTTCTTCATCCTCCCCATTAGAGCCTCTTCGATTTATTCTGAAAAAAAGGATAGAAAAACCTCAGGTTAGCACATCACTGATAGGAGTACCAAACTACTGTACACCATAAACATATTTGGAAGAGATAGCAGTAGCTGATTATGTACAGGTATTGGTGAGGTCTAACTTGGGAGTATAAAACTCCTAAACACATACAACCAGTGGCGTAACAAACACTATAGCAACCCAGGTGGCCGCTATTGGGCCCCGAGGCACAGGGGGGCCTGGCCAGGAAATCCCCCTGATGCCGTGCGGGCCGCCTGGGTCGCTATGGCATTTCAGGCTGCTGGCTGTCACTAGCGGCTGTGAGGAGAAACACGCCGCTATTCACATGTGCAGCGGCGCGTACCTCCTCACAGCCGCTGCTGAGTCAGTGACAACCTGCAGCTTCGGAGGAGGGGCCCAGCAATCGAGGAGGTGGATCTTAGCGATGGGGGCGGACCCTGCGATCGAGGAGGTGGGGCCCAGTGATGGAAGAGGCGGGGCCCAGTGACAGAAGAGGCGGGGCCCGCAAGCGATCATGGAGGAGCAGGAGGCGGACAGAGGATCGGGCCAGACAGGTAAGAGGGCTTGACCGCCCACCTGAGACCCTGCAGCGCTCACCATAGAGAGTCTATGGTGGGCTCTGCAGGGTCACCTACAGGTAGGCTGTTTGGGTTATCAGGTGGACTTAACTAGAAATCACAGGGCCCCATACAAAATTTTGCTATGGGGCCCTGTGATTTCTAGTTACGCCCCTGCATACAGCCCAAAGATATTGTTGAAATGCAGAGCTATACATAAGTAGATATGAAACTAAGCCAGACGTTCAGCTCCTAGTAGGACAGTGACCCAAAACTGACAGCCAAATCTATGTTTAAGTGGCTTAATACCAAGAACCTAAGAGTCTTCAACTATCTGAGTCTCTCATCTTTTTACCAATCTGCTCTCTCCTACCATCAACATGTCCTTTGGTAGCATATAAGCACTGCAGCACAATTAATTGGCTCCTTGTGAGGCTTTTCACTTCCTCAGTTTGAGTTCTGCTGTACAATGACTGTGAGAGGCTAATACCAGGTCAAATTCACATACTTACATTGCTTGCACTTCGAAAAAGTACATTTAACTCCATTACAAAATTCTCTTTTGTAATGGAGTTACATCCCGTTCTGCAGGAAACAAAAAATCAAGGAGCAGCACCCATTGTAAGTGAATGAATCTGCATTTAAAATAGCTTAAAACATTTAGGGGGTTATTCACTAAGCTGTGGAAGGCATTCAGCTATTCACTTCGGCGCTGTACGGCTCTGTACAGCTGATTTCACATGTGCAGCAGCCGAAGTGAGCTGAAGGATCAGACGAAGCTACGGCTAGATCCTTTGGCAAGTAAGTGAATAACCCTCTTAGACTTTATCATTACTTTAATATTTCTCCATTTGGTAAACCTACAACTTTCATCAACCATTCATATTCATTCATATTGCTTTGGGAAAATATAGATGCAATTTAGGTTTATGATAATGCTTACTTTTTTTCCCGTGAAATTAAAATACATAAGTCTTCTTTACCAAAATCAAGATCCTGTGGTAGAGAACATAGATAGCAAAAAAGTAAGAAAAATGAAATATTGTACAAGCTAAAGACTAATATTGAGACTCAAACATGAAACCTTGATGAGACTAGGCATCTCAACGGAGGATTGTCTGATAGGGGCATCTGTTTTGCTTTCTAGAGTTGTGCAGGTGAAGTAGGAAATGCAGTGTATCAAGGTGGCTAAGGTTATTTTTGAGCTATTGCAGATGATTGTCTACACTGGAAAATCTTTTGTGTTTGGTTTAGGTAGTCATGGAAATAGCGAGGAAAGATGCATGTGTTGTAATGTAAGCACTATATTTATTTCTATTAATAAAGGAGGTAAGAAAAAAAGGAATAAAAGAGGAGGGTTGGTATTAGAAGATGTCAATGAAGGAGGAAAAAGAAGAGAGCATTGGAGGAAGAGAGCAGGAGAAGGAGAAGAGGGTAAGGGAGGTAGAAGGGTATCCCCCTTATTAAATTCAAGAATATTATTTTTTTCCATCATATTTATTAGGGATGCACCGATACTAGTATCTATATCAGTGCCAATTCCGAGTATTTGGGCAAGTACTCGTACTCGCCCAAATGCTCCGATGCCTAGCACGAGTACTTCCGGTATCAGGAAGCCGGCAGCGCGTCATTACACGCTGCCCGGTTTCGCGATTGACCGGGAATCGGCTCCATGCTCTCTCGTCACTTGTCATTACACGGCGCCCAGCTTCCTGATTGGCCGGCCAGAGGCTCCGGCTGGGTACCAGACAAAGGCCGCGTTCTCGCTGGAGAGGCCCCGGGGGTGACAGGCTGCACATACTAAGGTAAGAGGGGATTTTCTTGTTAATCGGGAAACCGGGTGGCGACTCTTTACACGCTGCCCGGCTTCCCGGCTAATCAGGAAGCCAGGTGGCGAGTCATTACACGCCACCTGGCTTCCTGAATGGGACTTCCGTTACTCGGTAATTGGTATCGGCGAGTACCGAAAAAAAAATTATCGGTACTCGTACTCGGTACCAAAATACCGGTATCGGTGCACCTAATATTTATTGTTATATGTATTAATAATAATAATCCTTACCGTTTTTACCTGCTGTGATCCAATCAAAGCTTCTTTAATATCTCTTAATAATGAATGCTTCTAAAGGATAATAAATAGTTTATTATAATCAGGTTTCTGTCTACACAGCTAACTTACCTTAACAATGTCGAGCTATATTATATCCATTTGATATATTAACAGCACAATTACAAGCATTTTACAGAAAGGTACAATGCAAGGTACTTAAAGTGGCAGTCCACTCAACAAGGATATGTGGTCATAGATAGGTCTTTGTATGTTTATTTACCTATTCACTTCTCATATTTTTGGTTGTCTTTATTGATTTTTTTTTTTCTCCACACACAATTTCATTGTTGGCACATTAATGGAAAATACCAGACTTCTTGTAATGGCCATTGTAGATGGAGGTGAAACAGAAAATGTTTAAAGATTGCTCCAAGACACATAAAACTGGGAAGCAATTCAACTCAAAGACTAAAATGTTAGTTTGGTTACACTGACCCTTACAAGAAAGGCCATAAATCATTTCACACACAGCAAAGACTGTGGAGTGCTGACCTTGTTGTCTAGTATACTGGATAGAGAAGTTCACATTTTTACAAATATGTCATTTTAAAAGCTGAGCCATAAACAAACATTTCAACGTGCTTAAATTACAAAAAGATTGATAAAATATATTTCAAAAGGTATATTTTACAGTTTCCTAATTTCATTTTGAGAGGAATATTATACCAAATACACCTGACATGTAGAAAGGCAAGGTGCAGTTTTTACAGATTTAAAATTTGAAGTGGGTGTGCCTCTGTCAAATACACGAATAGTGACGGCAGCTTATTGGCTGCACATGCCCAAGCAGCAGATCCTCACTGGTTCCTATTGCTGCCCCTCACTATCACAGTCTAAGTGCTGCTGTGCAGTGTATGACCGAAGGCTGATATCAAGACAGATTCAAATTTCTTATACTTATTCTACGATAAAATACATGTAATTATTTTTAAAAGGGATACAAAACTGTAATAAATGGTGTTCTTTCTCTCACCTTCCGCATACTGTGCACCTTTTGACATGACATTAATTTAGCTTGCTCAATCTGGTTCTGTAAAATGAACATTTTGTTAAATACAAAAGATTCCTTTAATTAATACAACAGAGACCAAAAATGTTAATTATATAACTTTTTTAACCTTAATTTGCTGTATTTCTTTCTTTAAAGCAGAGAGTTCCTGCTGTTCGCATTCTTCAAGAATGGAAAATACCTTTAACAAAAGCAAAAGTATTACAGTACTATGAAGTAATTGTGTACAACACAATGAAAGGCACAATAAAGATAACTATCAGCCCAGTTGGCAAGTTGAATTACCTATGTTCCGCCTTGCTTGATAGAATACTGCTAATGCAACATGGTGAGTCTCACATCAGCTGGATTCTGTACAATATTAATGAAAAACCCAGCTGAGAGAGTGTGACCACTGTAATGAGTACAATAAGTAGACAGACTTGAGAACTGAAGGGATTTCAGCACCAGAGTCCCTGGAAGATGAAATCCAGTGGTCATGCAAGTCAACAGCAGCTACTAAAAGCTAAAAGGAATCAGTTTGGAATAGGCTGGCAATTTAAGCATGTATCTATGCATGCATAGAAGTGTATTGGATTAAAACCGAAGATACATTCCCTCTATCGCCCAGCGTTTCATGTGTCAATCTCATGCTTGGACCTATTGGGAGGTAGTAAGTTGGATAAACAGAGCTCTCTGCGTTTGCTTCAGCTTTGCTTGCTTAAGGGCTACTATGTCTACTGCTGTCATCTGGACCTTCATTTAAGGTAACAACATGTGTAGATGGCCATTTTAGATTTATATGGCACATATACACACAACCTTATTACTAAGCCTTAATCAGCAGGGTCATCCTACAACATGACTCCTTCTGAAGCCTTGTGGATATGGGAATCTGTGGTTCCATTCTCCTGTTGGTTGCCAGATACTAAATGACATCCATCTGGATAATAATGGAAGCATCTGGCTCTGTAAGTAAGCTGTGCAGAGTTTTAAAATCTACTCTACTCTAATCTATCTAGTATTTTTTATCTGTGCAAATCAATGATAGAGAAGTTTGTATAATATTTACACATTTCAGGTAATGTGAACCTTTTATAATAATAAAGCACTTAACATATATATAATTAGGAAAACACATATATTCAATTACTTTGAATGTTAGAATTAAAATACACTCACCTGTGTACAAAGTTGCTCTTTGTATTCCTGCAGAGCTGCTGAGACCTTAGCAACCCGTCTATTCTGAAACCCAAATGAAAAACGTATTCGATCTTAACCAATGATTTATACTTCTTACATTACCATTTGTTTCTTTACTTTTTAAAATATAAGTCAAGCTAAGACATTTGTTTTAGTTTTGAATATCATGGGGAAGAATTAGAACCTCTCAGGTTGTACGGTTGTTTGTCTGTCCTTTTAGACAGGGTTTCCTTTGAATTACTTCCCTAGTGGTGGTGGTGGTCTCCAAGGCAGGATATCAGTAGAAATGTCTGCAACAGTGACACACAGAGCAAGTTATATTTTTTTAGCACAGTGGCCAAGGTTTATGACCTCTCTCAGCTTTTTAATGTCCTTACTTTTTGTCACAGTGACTACCACAGGAAGAAGTGAGGGAATATTTCTAAGGGAGAGACAGACAACAATAAAAACATAGCAGTGGTTGAGCCATTTTAAGACACTGGTGGGCCTAGGAGAGACATCTACACAGACATTGCACACACACATCTACACAGGAGCAGTATATTGGCAGAATACTCCCTAAAGCCTATGCAGGCTAACTTCCTCTTCCTCTGCTTCCTGCATCACCAATCACATAAACATTTTCAAAGCAGGTTTAAATCCAATTACTGACTCTACAAAACATCTTTGTACAGCCTTGTTTTCCATCAGGCTTTCTGTTTGTGAGAGTATGAAGCCTTAAAGTGTATTTCCACTTTTGCAGTCAAAAACTAGGAAAAGCCCACTGTATGTTCGTTTTGTGTTCCTATTCACACAGCATACTGAGAAATAACTGTTAAAAAAAAATCTTACCTTTTACATGTTTTGTTAAAACAGGCAAGATGGCTGATTCCAGGTCTAGTCCTTTCATAGTGGTCTGTCCCAATGGAAAGTCTTGGGACTGAAATTTAAGGACTGTGTTTATCTGATAAGCTTCATTAATATACAATGGACAAGCCCCCTCAGACCCCTCACAGCCCCTCTTAACATTTCAAAGAAATAGAAGCAAGAGGAAATTTTAACCCTTAAAACCCTAACCCAAGTAAAAGCAATTTAAACTGCAAGAAGCATTTAAAAAAAAAATGCGTATGCTATGTGCATAGGAACATTTAATAAATATAAAATAGGTGTTACCCCAATTTGGCTTCAAAAGTGGAAATACACTTTAAGTGTGTGTTCTAACATTGCCAGCAGGTGTGTTCCAGGATCACCAGATTATAGACAAAGGCAGTAGGGTAGCCTGGCACAGTACAGAAATGCCAAGAATATGTGATTCTAAAACCCAAAGCAGTGCTTTGCATTTCTCAGCACCATGAACCTTAAAAACATACCAGATAAGTATTGTAAATCTGCGACTGCTTGCTTTCCTGAGAAGTCAATTTGAGTCCCTGAAGAATTCTTAGTATTTTTATTGCAAGATCAAGTGGTGGATCCTGTCCTTCCTCCCAAATGCTTATATCATTCCACAGCTGGGTAAAAAGTGATATACAAGATGCAGAATGAGGCCTGTAAACACAAAAAAAAAATTATTGTTGCAATTAGGAAACAGTGTGAACAGACTGCTAAAAGGAATATAAACTTAAACAATGTAACTTATCTGGTATACGGTACTGGATTATATTTAATATCAGGTAATATATAGCATACTGGTCTATCAAAATTGGAGTTTATAAGAAAGTTCAGTGGCAACAGTTGTTTCTGACAGGTGTGTTCCTGAGAACTGTAAGCATGAAGAAATCTGGCAAATGTTTGTAGTGCTCCTCACAAATTTTCTCTACCATCAATCAAGTTTAAAGTTCTCACATTCATGAGCACTTCCTTTGTCAGAACTACTCATCACTGCATCCTGGTATTTTTTTCCTGTATGCTAAGCCGCACATCCGCTGCTCATGCACAAGCTCGGCATGCCGAGATGAAGTAACTTCCATGCGCATCTGCTAAAGTTACGTCATTGGGGCCCATCCAATGAAGTGTCTAAAGACTCCAAACATAGAAAGAAGGCTGGGATGAAGAGGGAAGCGACAGTGAGAGAGGAGCGCAGTGCTGGAGAGAATAGCTTTGACAAGGAATGCGTCCATAATGGGGTAATATGCTGTGCATACTTGCACATTATGGCTAAAAGTTTCAGGTGGCTTTTTCTTCTCCCCTTACTTTAGTTCTACTTTACTTTAATGCCTAAGCATTACATTTTGGCATCAAACCAGGGCTGCATTGGTTAAGTAGTTCTGAAGATGGCTTGCTATATAGCAAATCAACCACAGGACTATTTTACCATGTGTGATCCTGTTTCAGAAGCACTCACACTGATATTTACACACATTATTAGTCTTGGCTGTCCATGAGTCTTCATATATGTGAGCTGACTGATGCTCAGGGCTCTTTCTTACTCTCTCTGCTGGGAAAGCCTGCTGCGGTGTGAAAAGTTGACTGCTGACAGAACACTAAAAAGGCACATGTGCTGCCTGTTTATTATGAGAAACCCATTAGCTCAGACAAGCAGATGTTTTGTTTGTTATGCTTTGGACTTGCTGTACAAAGCCCTCCTGTATTGAAGCTCTGTTTGTTTGCTGCCTTGCTCAATAAAGGTTCAGGACAAACCTGCTTGGACTGTTTCTTGGTGTCCCTGTCTTATGCATGTTTTACCACTGTCTATAGTAGTTTAGCCTATATATATATATATATATATATATATATATATATATATATATATATATATATATATATATATATATATATATATATATATATATATATATATATATATATATATATATATATTAGAAAATGCTTCTTACTGGTAATCATTTTCAAAACCTTCATCTTCTTCTTCACTGTCATTTGCTCCAATATAGAAATATACTGCAATAAGAGGAGAGAAAAAAAAACACAAGTGTAAACCTTATGCAAAAGCGTCAAAAGTTAATTTAAATGAAATCTTTCCTGAAATAAACAATATGTCAGAAATGCCCTGGCTCTGGATACTGAAATAAATGAGTCTTCCCACACTGGTATCTGCATTTAAAACAATTCATTGCCACATAGCCCCTGTTCAGGATGAGCCATTAGGGTGCATATAGACGTTTGTTTAATTAACTTGTTGAAATCTGGAAGCTGCGACGGCAGAGTTAAAAAGGTCCTGTGTGTTCAGATTACTAAGGGCAGATTACTAGCTCTCCTATTACTTCCTGGATTTCTGGCACATGTGACTAGATATGTGACTAGGGCATGTGACCATGCACATCATCTCAGTGGAGGAAAATGCCTTTCCCTGAGATCTCGTGAGATTACAGATGAGCTTTCCCAGCAATGCTCTGCTAATGACAAGACAATCCCAGTGTGCATTGCTGTGGCAAACTGAAGTCATTTTGCCCTTTCAAAGCAGGAAGTGAATACTCTGCAAGTGTAAGTATTTCAGAATCACAGCATTTTACACCTGATATGTCTGTGTTATTGTTAATCATCATACAAAGAGGAATGCATTGGTAGAATTTGATTTTTAAAAGTAAAGGTCTGCTTTAACCTCTTGACGGTTGTTGCAATTTTGTATCAAACCCCTCCCGGCTTGACTGCAGCCAAGGCGGTGTGTTCATTCCACCAATGCCGGTTTATTTGTATTCAATAAGTACCAAAGATTGTTTTGGGAGCAGTGATCGCGCCCTGTCGCAGTAGTATAGTTAGCTACAACTGCTTGAAGTACGCAAAGCCTCAGCGCAGTCATGCACATGGCTGCTGACTGCTAATTTTGAAAAAATTTGTCTAAATTTTTAGTTATTTTTGTAAAATAAAAATATGCAACAGCTTATTGTTTGTTGCTACAATATGATATCTATGTGTAATCTGCTTGATTACATAAAAAGTAATACGTGCAAAGTTGATATTTCAGCAATTTTTTTTGATAAATCGAGGTTCCACCAGTGGAAGTCTGTTCAGATACTGTGGGTCACGGGCCAGTGGTTGAACGTGGACAGCAACGCTGCAAACACCCAAATTGTAAGGGCCAGACTGTAATCAAATGTTTGAAGTGCAATGATTACCTGTGCCTCAACAAGATAAAAAAACTGGTTTTGAGAACTCCAAGAGTAAAAATATTTCTTCCCATGTGACTTTTTGTTAAGTTCATGACATTCTATTAATTTTTGATCATTTTTGTCATTTGAATTGTTTACTGCAGGTACTGGTCAATAACTTTTATTACTTAAATGCCTAATGTCGATAATTTGCATCATAACTATATTTTTCTCCATAGTATGTGCTATATTCAAATTAACAATCTCCACCTTATTTAGTATCTGCTTGATAGCCAAAACACATATCATTTTTTTTTTTTTATATAATTGAAAATTAATGTTGGCATCAAAGGGTTAAGGCTAAGCATTTCATAAATAATGGTGAACTTTTTTGGGGGGAACCTAAAAGAATGTCCTGTGGGGCAAACCTTTTTGAATATGTGATTAAATATTATTCGATCACTTGATTTCATATGCGAAAAAAAGGTAGAATGGTGGCTAAGTTGTGGCACTCTTGGTTACAGCTCTGGGTTTGAATCATAGCTGTGACTCTATTTTCATGGGGTCTGTATATTCTTCCTGTGTATCTGTGTGTAATTGCTCCCACTATCCAATAACATACGAGTTGGTTAAATGGCTCCCTTTCCAAATTGCCCTGGGATGTAGCAGGGGGACAAGCATTGATGTGAATACATCTATATAGTCTATAAAGCTATTTTATTTATCATCCAGCACTATATAAATCCTAAACAAAGTATAAACATTAGGATGAAATGACTTACCACTTGGTGAGCAATCAGAGATAGCTACAGACATGGTACACTGCATGAAATTAGCTAATGTCCTGTTCAAAGGGAACAAAAGAGTGATTTAATGATCTCAGACGAATACTAGTAGGTTTATAAGAGGGCAGTCTATTCAAAAGTGATATTTGATTTATACATGAAGCCTGGTGGGCTGAATCAGACTGTCGCTTTATATTTATTCTTAAATGTTGTGCCAGCGAGATCTCCCTGCCATAATGCCTGTTTCATGCTGCATTTTCATAATGTAAATTACAGAATGGGAACATAAAAAGTCACTGTAGCAAGGTCTTTAAGGCCCCATTCACACTGAGCAACTTGCGATATTGAGCGATATTGCGCGACTTGCGATATTGAGAGACTTATTCCTATTGGGCTGTATGTAATCAGGAGCAAAATCGCTCGAAATCGCTCGAAAAAAGGGTCATGTAGGAGCTACAAGCGATATTGAGCGATATTGAGTGACGAGATGTGAACAGCTCCATTGAAATGGATTGGAGAAACTACATAGAGCGATATCGCGTGGAAATATGAGCGATATCCCTGCAAAAATCGCTTGATAAATCGCTCAGTGTGAATGGGGCCTAAAAAGAAACTTCAATATCCTTGGTTATTTTTTTTTAAATCCTTTTTCCTTACTAGCTAGGAAATCCTTAATAAAAATACATACATGCATGCCCAGCAAATTCAGAGTTGTTCTGATTTAATCCGTTGATCTACACCTGATTATGTGTCACCATCATCCTTTTTTATGTCATTGAGAACCAGCTGTCCTTCTGGTTCTTGCATATGCCCCCCCTGATGACATGGCATTTCACACAGCACTGCAACACAAAATGTAAATAAACAAAGCAGTGCTGCTGAGCAGGGGAAAAAGCATACAGTGCGTGTGGACAGAAAATAGATCAGCCACCTCCATGACCTCTCTGAGATCACTATGACAACTGTCAAGCTGTGGCTCGGCAGGAGGAAGGCTGCAGCCCGGTCACTAAGAAACACTATCAAAGAGTTTATGTAAATTACAGTAACTTGTATTTTTTACTTCATACTCCCTTTTTATACATTTGTAAATACATATTTTTCACTCATTCATTTTTATAAAAAATATAAACTTTTTGAAAGAATTTAAAAAAATATAAACTTTTTGAAAGAATTTACTGGGCCCTGGTCCCACAAAGGTCAATAACCTCTGGTCTCAGGATCACAATAGCTTGGCAGAGTGTGTTTTAAAAAGGACCTGTGAAACAGAAGCTGGATTGTTTTTTTGGGGAACATGCTGCATTTACCTCCCAGGCCTATTAGGCCCCGTTCACATTGAGCGATATCGCTCTCCAATGCTTCTCAATGAGGCAAAGGGTCCTGCTGTCGCGGGTCGTGCGTCGCTACAGCAGGACCCTTTTTGGAGCGGATTTAGGGTCACATTTGGGAGGCCATGGTGTGCTGTAGATACTCCCAGGTAAATGGCTGTTCTGCTTACACAAGCCTTTATAGTCCACCAGTAATCTTTAATATAGACATAATTACACATCATTAAAAAAAAAAGGTGAAACTATCAGGGTTATTCATAAAAGGGTGAAGAGTTTGGAGAAGGCAGGAGAAGTGAACAATCTAGGACAACATAAGTGAGCTGGAAAGTGAGCTGAATTGGAGAATGTTTCCAAATCAGCTATTTTGACCTAGATTGTTCACTTCTCCTGCCTTCTCCAAACTCTTCACCCTTTTGTGAATAACCCTGTAATTTTTTTTGCTACATTATATGTTTTAACATTTAAAGTTGTGTATGTAATCTGCCTTGATAAGGAAGGTATTAGTTTCCCTTTGACCATTTTTATACATTTTCTATGGTAATTTATGGTTATACCAGGTAAAGTTAGCTTACTGTAGTTTACATATATGCTACTTGTAAATTGCAGGTAATATGTATTACACACAAAAGCATAAAGTTTCCAGATATATGCATTTATTCACATTACACTAGTACACTGTGCAATACTGTAGACATATGCTACTTATGTAAATGAGGCCTAAAGCCCCAGATCTACAGAATTTTAGTTTAAGTCTGCAGAGGCATATAGATTATTTTTTACTTGTTCTATGTGTTTATTTTTAGTTCGAGATGCAATAGCATGCATTAGTATCAGTTTACATGTACAGTATATAAAAGGATGCATTAGCATCAATTCACATGTATACAGTATAAAAGCATGCATTCACATCAGTTTATATGTTTATAAAAGCATTTACATAGACTCACAACTATAGTTACTATGTGTTTCCAACAATATGAACAAAAATGTAATTTGCTTCAACAGACAACATGGGTAATGCACATAGAACCATGAAATCAATAACAGTGTGAACTTCATCTATTTATGACTTCATCACAGTCATTCCAGTGTTTAAAAGCGGGTTTGAACTACAAATATGTCCGCTATTTGTTGTTTGGTACTTAAGCAAGTACCCCATCATTTTAATTAATGGGGGGGGGCATTGTTAAGAGAAGTAGAGCTAAGTCACATGATCTGTCAAAGTCATGTGACTAAGTTCTCCTCCTTTAATTAAATGATTCCTGCAGTATTATACAGAGAACAATGTAAAGCACCACAGGCTCTAAGTTGTGGCCTAGATTTTATGAATCACTCATTAAATAGAGGTGCAGTGTGGACCAAGCACTCTGGTGCCCTGCACACAGCGGTTTCTGCTCTCTGTTATAAATAGCCCCATAATTTAGTGCACTGTGCATTAACTTATGTCAGTAAGGTCTAACATTGCATTAAGCCATCAGTAAATAGTAAGTTAGTAAACAGCCATAGTATCAAAGCACAACGTTGCATATAAAATAGAAATAACAAAGTAATAATAATAACTTACTATATGTGAGGAGGGAATCCTGCAGTTATGTACAAGACTAGCATTGGGAGCTCTGAGAACTTGGATAACACTCAATGGTGCAGCACAGTGAAATAAATGTTTTCTCTTTAGTGACGTCTTAAGGAATGCTTTTGTGAAAGAAAGAATCCTGAACAATGTCCCACTATAATAGGTCTCTACAGCCAAAGTGAAGTGGAAAAAGAGAGTCTTTAAAACACTAACAGGATAGGGTAAAAATGCTTGCAGGAAACAAATGCCTTATGAAAAGATCAGCAGAGAAAACTACCCAGCCATATATATGTAAAGTGACCTCAAAGCCTACATTAGTTTCCCACTGGTGGCCTCATTTCCATATCCATTGTTATTCCAAGCAGCAAATTAAAGAGTCACGTGCTGATCATGCTGATAACATGAGATTGATATACATTACTCTTACTGGCTGGTCTTATTGGCTCATTGGATTGGCATTATTTCTTACAGAACAATACCTAATAATTCATTATTATGTGATTTCTGGCCTACAAATTATTGATAATTGCTAAGCTTACAGATAAAAACGTCCTGCTTTCCTCTCCCTTTCAATCTCAGCCTTCAATGAGAACTAGTAACATCTGGAAGTACAGTTTGTCTCTGCAGAACATTTAAAGTAAAATGTTATGTTGGTGTATCTTTGGTAAGATTTTGAAATATTGCTCCTTTGCCACTGTTATAATCAGAACTTAAGTCCAGGCTCAAGTGACACAGAGATAATTTACAAGCAAAGGCATAACAAAAACGCAGTTATAAAAACTGCCTACTTTAAGGTTTCTGTAAAACCTAACAATGGATTTATCTTTTTTGCTCCTTTAGGTCTGTCAAATATACATTTTAAAAGCATTTTGTTATAAAATTTAAAAAAACCTGTTAATCTTGTCAGAAATTACGAGATGTCCTGTGCTCTTTGCCAGTGTTACCCTCAAAGAGATTATTTAGCTCTCCCTGTTCCTATCTTGGACTACAGGTCAATTAGCCCCTATGCTGTGGATAAGACAACAGGGTAAGTGGTTAAATAGTTTAGCTAAAGACAATGGGTAGGGCTGATACCACTCATACCACAAAAACGATGGGGGTTATTCACAAAGCTTCCCGAAGGTAGCCGAGTGAATAACCCAGCCGAAGTGAAGTGAGCCGAACGCTGTTCGGCTATTCACTTCAACTAAAATCAGCTGTACATTGGCTGCCTTCGGCTGCCTTTTGTCAGCCGAACATGCTCTGCATGTTCGAAGTGCAGAAGGAGTTCGACTCAGCCGATCCAACATCTAGATCGGCTGAGCCGAAGCTCCGGCAGCTCACTCGCTGCCGTTTGCCCCTATTCTCATAGGGGCCGAATGGCAGTAAGTGAAAAGCCGAATGCCGCCAAGCAGCATTCAGCTCGGCTATTCTGCTCGGTACCTGTGAGGTACCGAGCTGAATAGCAAAACAGTTAAATGAATGGGTAAAAAAATAGTTGAAAAAATATTTAAAAAACGTAAACAAATAGTAAATGTTTTTTTTTTTAAATGCCATTCGGGTCTGCTCATAGACACGAATGGCATTCCGGAGCTCACGAATAGCATTCGTAGCCCGAATGCTATGGCCCGAATGCTATGGCCCGAATACTATGTGGCAGGAGATGACATTTTGCGGTGAGTTTTCATCGGGCTTGGACGAGTCGTCGTGCAGCGGAACTGTTTTTATGTCAGCAGATTTTTTTTCAATTAAAGGATTATTTTATAAAAGTGTGGTTTCTTTATTTACATTGAATTTTAACCCTTTAGTGAATGAGTAGGGGTGCAAGTACACCCTACTAATTTACAAGGGGGGGCGGCATCTGGGTGCCCCCTTAATTAAAGGGGTACCCTGATGCAAATAAGCCCCCCTGTCCGCAGACCCCCACAACCACCAGGTCAGGGTTGTGTGGAAGAGGCCCTTTTCCCATCAGCATAGGGACACCCTCCCAATGCCAAGGGCACGTGGCCTGGTAAGGCGCAGGGAGGGGGGGCGCTCGATCGCCCCCCCCCCCCCCTTTCCTGTCCTGCCGGGCCTGTGCTCGGATCAAGGGTCTGAAAGGAATTTTAGGGGGGACCCCACGTTTTTTCCCCACTTTTTGGGGGTGGGGTTCCCCCTTAAAATCTCCACTAGACCTAAAGGGCCTGGTATGGATTTTGGGGGGAACCCCACACACCGTTTTTTGTTTCCACTTGGGGGGTCCCTTCTAACATTCTTACCAGACCTAAAGGGTCTGGTATCAATTGGGGGGGGGGACCCCACGCTTTTTTTTTTCTCTTCTGCAGACTATAAAAACA